GTGCATCTGGACTGCCACTGAATTGAAAGTAGGATTAGGTCACTCCCAAAGGGGAGTTACAATGCCTGAAAAATTAACACAACTTCTGGAAGTAGACTAAATTAAATAGAAGTCTAGCAGACAGTGCTAAAAATGGTGCCTCTTACCACGGCTTTGTAGCCTTGGTCACTTCCTGGAAACAAACCGCTTCTTTCTCAGTGTGAAAACTTTCCATCTTTGAAGGAAATAAGTCAATGAAGCTGTATTTAAACATCAAATGCATAAGTAGAGGGACAGTGGCATGCTTGTTAGCATACAAAAACTTAGATTCAAAAGTGATTTTATTTTCATTTACATAGATGATTTGCTTTCCAGTAGTCAGAGCAATTCAGTATATGTAGATGCATGCCCAGCCACGCACAGATTGATGCACATGTGCAGATCAGAGCAGCTAACATGGGACTATGACACCACGGAGAAGGTGGTTTAATTCCATGCGCTGAAGGCCTGCATGAGAATTACTGGCTGCTGGCATCAGTCTCCAGGCCTTATTGTTGTAGATGAGGGAGTCAGCCTCCGTGGTGCTTGGCATGGGAGGTAGGGAAGGAGGGAAAGGAGTGGGGAGAGAGGAAGAGTGACAGGGCCGGTGGGCCCCAAGGAGCCAGCATGCTGCTGGTACACTTGGGGGGCTGTTCACCAGTGGGTGCTGCTGCCATACGCAGTAGTGCAAAGCAGCACATGCAAGCAACAGAAGCAAGGGTGATACGAGGAAAACAAAACGCATCCTAAATATCTTTGGAAAGAGCTAATGACTGATAAATAGGTTGAATAGAGATGGCAGAAACAATTTTTGTCGATTAATTTGTATCTATTAATTCAGTCATTCTCCTCTTCAGCATTTACTTAATGATTCCTGTTACTCTTTCCATCTCATTCTTTTTCTCTTTGGTATCCTACCCGTAATCCTCTTCTGTAACAACACTTAACACTTTTCATAGTGTTGCTGGAACAAAAATGTTTCCCAAACATTAATGAATTACTGTTCACAAACAAGCCCTGAACAACTCTTTTGTAGATGCATTCATACTGTGCTGTGGATAGACTTGGAATTGTTTTACTGTGTGCCTTAGGACCGGTGTTGCCAATAAGTAATGGGGGGTATTCTTAGCTCAAGTGGGGCTCAGAAGAAGAAACGGGGCTAATCTTGGGCTCCTCTCAAAGACTGAATTAGGAGACATTCTGAATAATTGTGATACTCAGAATGGCAGAGCACTCTCATGTATAGCTTTTTTGGACATACAAATACAGATTATCATAATACATAGCTGTCCTGATGCATATCCAAAATCTGTCACAGTATAGCTCAGAGTTTGGACGCAAGAATGTTGTTCTGGTGAATCCAAGAGGAGAGTAAGTTGTTGGAGAAGGGATCAGAAATAGCAGTTCCTGTGTGCAGGCCACTTTTCCCAGTTTCAAGCTGCACATTATACGTGCAAGCATTAAAAGTTTTACTGACTTCCTAATGCATCCGGAGAACAAGTGTTTTGCAAACAAGATACAGTGTTTATTTCTTTTCTTAATTTGGGAGCATTATCTTCCCAATGAAGTCTAAAAGAAAACCTGAACAAAAGATGACTTTGTTTCTGTATAATTCATGAAAGCTCTGCAGTTGTAACCTTATAAACAGTTATTTAAGATGTGTAAATTTCAAATCTTTTTTTTTAATGGTGTACATAAATGACATAATAAATGTCTGTTTCCACAATAGTGTGCATAATGTACTTCAGAAGCAGTTACTGCAATGTGATAGGTGGGGTATACGAATAGCATATTTTATGTAAGTATGTAAGTATAATATGCTAACACAGTATGTAATAGAATTAAACAAGCTGTAATTTAATACAGCTCTTTAGCTCTGTAAAGCTAGAGGGGTGGGGAAGCTATTGTCTTACAGAATTAAAGTCATTTTTAAGTATTAGCAGAAGGACAATTACTGTTCATTCTGTATCAAAATTCTGTTGAAGTGCTTTATGTAAAAATTGCAGTCCAACTCAGGGGAGGTTTGAAACTAAGTTAGGACATCGATTAAATATGATTACATGGCCTTTTCTAAAGACAAAAATCTATATAATATTATTTAAAATAGTTAACATACAGTATTTCAACAGGGGAAGCTCTGATTAGATCACTACAATCTATTTTCTGCCACCAGGATTGCTGAGGGGCTTATAATTGTGTTAAATTTTCATATTACTCATATTCACACATTAATGAACAGATGCATTGTTACTATTGGGATTTTGCCATTTGGCCTTTCACATCTCTAATCATGATTTCCTACTGAGATCTTTACCGTTCTCGCAGAAATTCAAGGCATTGATACACGGTCGTCCGCCGCGTTCATTACTCTCCGCTCGTTTGCCGCAGCAGCTCTCCCGGCACCATCACCGGCGGACTCAGGTTGCAGGGACACTCATTTGTAACTCGAGTCCCGCGGCTGGGAACTCTGCCGCTAAGGCGGCGACTTGCCACTGACAAAGCTACTGTCACCCCCCTTTTCCCCTCTACACCTCGCTAAAGTAACCCCGAGCCCCGGCCCGGCGCCGCTCCCCGAGTGGCAGCAGCGGTGGCTCGGCGCGGTCCGGCCGCGGCGGGGCGGGGGCAGGCAAGGAGGCAGGGAAGCAGGCAGGGAATCAGCCCCGGCGCAGCAGGGCCCTGGCAGCCCCGGCGAGCGGCTACTGTTGCTTTAACGGGGCAAGTTGGACAGAAGACTTCTGTTCTTTACGAGCGCACCACGGCGAATATTTTGTCTAGCTGCAGGGGAAAAGCTTTGTCGCGGGCTTTGCTGACAATAGACTTAAAAGTAAGGCGGGCTGCTTTTGGTGCCCGGAGGCTCTGGAGCCTATTGTCAGCCCCCAGTGGATTTCTATGGCCGCATTCCTGCTTTGCAAAGGTTTGTTAGCTTTTCCTGACTGACAGCCCTCAGCCGCAAATGCCGCATTTGCTCTGGCCTGTTTACAGGCTAGTCGAGAATTTTGTAGAAAAGCGCAAGAAGAAAATATAAGGAAAGAATAATAAAAAAGGGGGCAAGTGGCGGCGTTTATTTGACGTAGTCATATAGGTTTGGAAGAACGGCTCCCTTCATAAAGGCTCGCCGGGGACGTACAAACTTGAGTTGTGCAAGTGCCGAGAGCACGGGAGCATCTCCGCATGTCCAGCCCCGGCACGGAGATGTTCATTGCACCGCTGTTCTCCCATCCCATTCCTTCGGCTTCAATGGCAGTATAGAGGTTCTAACAGAAAACTTGCGCTCAGGTAGTCAATCCCGGTGATCGGGTGCGCGGTGAGCTCACGGAGCAACCAGTCCTGCGAGAGCCTGCCGCTCGCAGAGCAGGAGCACACGCTTGTATAGGAGGAAATTGGAGGGTTGCAACGTGTATAACAATGTTAGGGGAGGGGGGAATCTCCCCTGCTGCCAATGGGACCCGCTATTGCAACGCCGGCAAATGAGCGGGGTGTGTGTGTGTGTGTGTGTGTGTGTGTGTGTGTGTGCTGGAAAGCGTGCCCCCGCCGCTGTAGTTAGTTATGTGTTACTATAACACTGCGTGAGGCTGGTTTAACGGGAGTTTGGGCTCCTTCGGGTGTGAGAGATGCTTTGCAGAGCGAGAGAAAGGCCGTGACTGCGGGCGGGACCCGGCGAACCTCTCAAACATGTACCCCCCCCTCGGAAAGCCTCGGCGGAGCTTCAAGGTGTGGCTTCAGAAAAGGGAGGCGGAATTAGCCAAAGAAGATAATGAAGGTTGCTCGTAATGGTTTTTAGTGTGGGGAAGATTAACCAGTTGCTAATAATTGTATGGTCTCTAGGCCAGACGCTCCCTTTGATAAGTTAACATGTACTCCCTTTATGCTCCTGGTAGGGGGTAAACAAATGCCGGAACAAATACAAATACACATAAACACCAATGTGGAGAATAGCAGTATATGTCTTAGATCCAGATAATAAGTGTGGGTATTGTTATTTAGATGGCGCATACTGGGACACTTATCTTTTAGTACACTCCATTTTCGAACTGAATGCAGTGCTAATCGTGGGATTGAAAGCTATTGTAATTGTGTACCCATCTAAATGCTGACAAGAATATACAATTACATTGTTTGGAATTGAGTTTAATGTTCTCTGAATTTTATTAGCATTTATATTTACTTATGCATTAAAATTCCATACAAAGAGGGGTCAAAATACAAGAGTTATAAATATCAGACCTATCCACACCCTCGCTTCATTTTGCCTGAAAATGCTGAACAAATTTATTTTATTTTATTTTATTTTTAAAGGGAGCGATAGAATCTGAAATGAGCAAATAATGGGTTTCCATTCTAAGCAGTGCCTTTTCTCCCTCTGGATTTTGCAATCTTTTAAAGCTTTTTTCATTCCCAACTTTTTATTATTATTTATAATGTGCGTGTTACCGGAAAATCTTTCCACAGTATGCTTACCACCACACGATGTTTAAACACACATTATAAAGTGGATGTGATTGTAAAGGCTCAGAGGGATATAATTACATGTAGCAGATTTAGGAGCTAATTCTTTGCTTCTCTCTCTCTTTCTCTCTCCCTCTCTCTTTACTCTGCATTTTATCAACATAATTATTTTTTGACTGCAGACTAACACCAAGACATTGACAGGCATCCATTATAGGCAGCAACTTGTTCACCAAATTGAAAAACAATGAACTGCAGGTTTATATGTGCCCATTGTCATACAGAATTACCGGGGCTTTGTTCCATAAGAGGAAAAAGCTAATGGTTTTGAAACAGCAGGTGACAAAACACTTCTTTTTTTTTTTTTTTTTTTTTCCCCTCCCTTCTTATCAGTTTGTTGATGAAGTCATTATGAACTGGGGCCCAGAATAGGGTTGGCCTTATTTTTAGCAGATAGACTTTTAATGAGTTCTATTGTGAAGACACTCATGTTGATTTGCTTCCATTTCTTTCCCCCCCCCCCCCCCTTCGCTCAGAAACACCCAGTATTGAAAAGCTACTATCAAAGGACTGGAAAGACAAGCTTCTTGCCATGGGATCAGGGAACTTTGGAGAAATAAAAGGTAATGCTGTTTCCGTGCTAAAGCAATTTGAGAATGAATATACATATATCACTGGCTTTAATGGAACTTTGTTTGCTCCTCTTCCCCTCCCCTTGGAACATCGTCATTTGGGCCTTAAATGAAATGTATGCTCTCCATCTGTGCTAATAGAAATAAATGAAATGGTATATTACCCTAAGTGAATGAACTTAAAGCTTTTGTTGCATATATCGTTCTGTGTTATAAGAGGACATGTCCTATTGCAGGATTCGGGAAAAAAAAGTCAATTCACAAATCAAACACTATCAGAGTATAGCAGAGCTCAGCTTCTGAAATCTGAGTCTGATCAGAAGTCCTTTTTTTTAATTTCTGGACAGATTTTGGTGATGTACTTTTTTATTTTTTTTTACTTCTATGCACGTAAGAGGAAAAAAAAAAATAAAAAGAGCAAAGTTTGTGTAGTGATACCTCTAGGTACCAAAATTAGTCAGTGCAGATTTTAAAACACAGCGTACAACAGCTGTGCACTAAAGCATGTTCTTTTAAAGCCGTACTCCAGAAGGAAAATGACAAAATTTGACCACTCTCCAGCAGCAGTAGCTTTTGCTTTGCCAAGATATTTCCCCATTTTATATATGTGAGGTTATTTTAGGGAACCTGTAGTGTTTGTTTTCATGCAATTTAATATCTTTATAATTCTTTCTCAGTGCTCGTGATGAGGAACTGACTCAAAATACATGTGTGTCAAAAATTTTAGTTTTCAGGGCAGCCATTATCACTCTGAAAGGAAACAGTGACTCTGAATCTTCTCCCATTTATATCAGTGTACATCTGGAGTAGCAAAATTGAAGCCAGTGTTGTTCTGAAAATGTGATAGTAGAATGAGATTAAAATTAAACCCTTCTTTTACTAGATTTCATTTCTATCCATTATTTTTGGTTTGTTTGCTTACTGATGTTGTCCTTGATTGCTAGATCCTCATTTAGTGAGGCTCCCAAGCCTTGTCCCTGACAAGGTTTAAGGCCCTTCTGTACAAAAGGTAGGCATTATTCAGTAAAGTATACATGACATGCTCTCAGAGGTTAGTGTATTGCTACATGTGCAAAGATAGTAGTATTTTGATTAGACATGCCTTCCCACTTATCACCGATAAGCCACTAGCATTAGCTTGCACTAGTCCAGACTTACACAAGTAGGAAAGTATGTCACTTGCTTCCTCTTGCTTCTCCCTAAGAGGCTGTAATTCAAAAATATATATTCATTACATATGTAGAATAACTTTATAACAGAATGTAGTGCTTTGGCCCCGAATAGGCTGAAATACTATTATTACTATTATTACATAACAGAGGGCAAAACCTTGGGTTCTTTCTTCCCACTGAGCACGCTTGCTCCAAGCACATAAAGGAACAGGCCATAAGGAGGTAGGGTAGCCACTGGGCTTATCTCTGAGTTCTGGTTTTGACAAGCTTATTGTTTTAAAATACCATCATTGTCTGCCATGAACTGATGAATCTTTAAGATGTTTCAGGCCAAAAGTATACAGGCAGCTTTCATACCCACTTTTGGGTGTGTAGTTCAACAGTTCTTCTGTGTTGTCTGGAGCCTCTTTAACTCTTGATATGCCAGAGCCTGTAGAAAGACTCCAATGATTCTCCTCTGCCTTTGGACTCAGTAAAGCTGCTCTGAGGAGGCAGTCTGTTCCCAGTCCCTATGATCTTGTTCTGTTGGAGGGCAATCTTTTTTTCTCCCTCCCTCTCTTTCCCTTTCACAAGCTAAACTTGAAAGCAGCAGCAGCAGCTATAAGCTAGAACGAAAGAAATTCAACAGTCCTTTCAGTCTTGCCCAGGGGGAGGATGGGGAGCAACAGTACAGCCTCAAAGAAGAGTTTTCTTTGCTTTAATTTTTTGGGTTTTAGCTTCATATTTTGAACACAAGTCGAGTTATTGTTCTGCAGCTCTGTTGAAAAGCCTCACATCTGAGGCTTTTTAGTGCAACTGTGGTTCTGTGGTCGGGGGCATGGTTATTAGGTGTTTGGATCAGGTTTGGCAGTAAGCTGTGAAAACAGGCACTGGTTTATTTTTCCTACTGACTGCCGTGACAGTTGCAATTATTGTCCATTGTTCCTAGGTGGCTAGAAAGGAGGGAGGATACAATAGAGCATTGCCCTCTGGGGGTAAATGAATTTGACTTACAGGTTCTTGGGGGGTCAGGCAGGCTGATTATTTAGTGCCCAGGAATGCGGTTTTCATGGCACCGCCAGCCATGAGCAGCCAACAAACAATGGCTCAGCTGTATTGCAGCTGTATTTAGTGAGGCAGCATGAAAGGTGTGCAAGTTGAGCTGCTTTATACTCGCAAATGCATGTACAAACACACATATATTATGCTAGAAAATGGTTTTTGTTCTTCTATAGGAATGTGGATTTATTAAGTTTTCCAGTTGTGATTTTTTAATTAACTTGCCTCTATATTTGGCCTGGCAGCTGCATTTACCCCTTCCTCTCCCATTTCTCTGTTAGTGATATTTGGAAACCCCGCACAAGTAGTGTCTTATTAATACCCCCGGAATGTGGACAGCACTAGAAGCTGTGCTGCCCAACTGTCTTATGCACTGAATCGTTTTTTCCATTTAACCGTTCAAAACTTCATTGTGTTTTGCATTAGATCTGGGGGAGTTTTAGTCCGTCATGTGCTAAAGTCTCTGCACTAGGCTACGTATTGTTAGTGCCCAGGTTTGTGTTACTGAGTTTATTCTAGGGGAGAGATTAAAAGAAAGGGAGATGGAGTGGAAGACCTTATTTTCTGTTAGTGTTGTTTCCTTTAAATTAGAGAGCAGTAATATTTTATTAAAGAGGTGAGTTAGTGAATGGCTGGAAGTAACCAGACTCCTATGGTTTGTATTCAGTTGTTCCTTTTAGTGGCTTTGTTACTTTGGGCAGCTACTTTAAGCCTCCCATTCTTCATTTGCATGTCTGTAAAATGGGAGAACCATTACCGAGTATCTGCAGAGGCCTAGGTGCAAGCTTCAGAATCACAGTTACCAGGATCTATATTTCATTCCAGGGCTGGACTGAAAGGTAGTGCAAAGGAATACTCTTATATTTAAAATCGGACAAATTCTAAATCCTTTCATAGCTGTAGAAAGTTTAGGTCAAAGGCCTCTGTTTTATTTAGAGAGGTAGCCTGGGGCTAAATAAATAAAACAAGTTTGGCACTGGAGATTTCTTAAGAAATTTTGGTTTTAAATCTATGGAATTTTTACTCAGTTCAGAACAAGTCAGTCTATAATAAACCCCCCAAAACGTGCCTTCAAATAGAAATATTTTAAAATAAAGCTGTAAAACTGTGTATTGAATTGGTTAAAGCCTGTTCAAACTTACTTATATCTGTCATATTCAAGAACAGGGCTCAAAAGGCCTCTGGATTATTCATGGATAATGCAGTTTATGGGATTCAGTGGAGCAGAGAGAACCCCCTTTCTGCTTTCAGCATAGCTGCCTGATACGTATGCATCACAGGGTGAAAGTGGTTGCTTTCCTCCAAAGCAATGTTACCGACTGCAGCAGATGCAGCGTGTAGGGCAGGCCATGGATAGGAAAAGGTGTAAGAAGCCTGTTTCCATACTCTTCAGTGACTGTGTCCATCCCTATACTTGGAAAATTAACACGAAACTTCTCTTACACTGGGGTTGGGCCTCCTCTGAGCAGACTTCACAGAATGGTTCTGGCCCCCCAGGTGCACTATGAGGTGCACAGTCTAGCTAGCGCCGATGTGAGTAAGGCAGCTTTAACCATTATGAGAATGCTTTTTAAAACCTGCCCTGTGTACACAAAGCCTTTCTACTAATCTTGTCCATCTCTTGCTTATCAGGAGTTGTCAAGAAACAATAACACGTATTTTATATGTTCTCCACTCAGCTAATTTTGAATAGGTGTGTGAAACAAAAGGCTAAACTGACTTTTGTTTCCAATCTGTCTGAGGTGGTTTTCTGTTGAAGTGAAAGCATTGTTAATAGCGATTGTGCCTGAGTCTGTCAAGAAAGACCAGGCAAGCCTGAACCTGATTTTTTTTTTTGTTGTTGTTTGAAAATCCTTTCCTATTGTACAGGTTAGTTCGTAAACAACTGAGGTGAACAGTTTTCTGCACTTACCGTGAAAGGGATCCTCATTAGGGTAAAATCAGCTCTGTGTTGTATCCACTTAAATCTAGGTGACTCCAAAGACTGTTCTGGAGCAACCAGTGATTTATGAATGTAATTGAAAGCAAGATTAGCCTACCAATTCTAATCTTTAATGCATAGTAACACACACATTTGTTGTGTGGAAGAAACTGGGTTCCAAGTTATGTGAAGTATCACTGCAGGTATTATATCAAGCTGTGTTTGATGTGCGATAAAGCTGTGTTTGCTGAAAACTGATTTTGCTTCTATGCTCAGAAGATGGGGCATGAGAGAGTAGGCAGTGAACAGTCTTACAACTGCCAATAATGGATAAAGAGCAATAATCCATTCAGCGATACTATAGCTCATCAGAGCCCATGAATTAAAGACATATGTTGTGTTGATTCAATGTATGGATTAAAATGGATAATCTGGTAGGTGACACACAGAATCTTGAGATAAGTGGGCTATGCAGATTCGGTATATGGATTGTGACGGATAATTCCATTTAAGTAATGCTGGACAAGTTGAAGACAAGTAAGCTTCGGGTAGTGCTCAGGTTATGTGCAGTAATCCAGTGAGTGACACTTTGGATCACATAATCTGTAAACTGAAGAGAAGAAAGCTGGGGATTCTGCATTTAGATGTGGACAGGAGGAAGGAGGGGGAAAGGGAGAGAGATTATTCATGGGGAATACACTGGGTTTAAACCTTTGACTAATACAGCACAGATCCCCAGGAGATGTGTGAAAGCTGCACACTTTCTTACAAGCTGTGTGAATTTTGCATTTGCAAATTAATGGTTGAAAAATGTTTGCAAACTTGTGTCAGATGTGGATGTTTTGCATTATTTTTTGTGG